GTTTAAGTATCATTATGGACCTAAGCAATATAGTTTGATAGTGTGCAGATAAATGTGTATATAAGGGTGCTACTTCCCGCCCATGCATGTCAGTCTCAATATGTACCTAAAACCAAATAAAACACAAGAGTGAGTATAAAAATACTCAACAAGTACAATATGAAACTAGAAAACACATATACACATCATTGGCAATAAAGTATGAACAAAAGGCTTTCTTTCTTTGATAGGAAACACATTTTCAAACACCAAGTCAAAGAAGATAGTAGTTCCTATCCCGGGCAGGCATGAATTGAAATAGTAGTTTCCATTCCGAACAATAGTGAATACATCCTAGCATTTGTTGGCAAAGCCGAGTAAGCGTGATCAGCGCTTACCCACAGGAACTTGAATAATGAACCAAATTGCACTCCCATGACTACGCATGGTACTTGAATAATTGAAACGGGAATCAAAGAACCAAATTGAAACCATATTGCATATCCATGGCAAGCAGGGAACTTGAATTATTTAAGCAGAACCAGAATCTAGAATATTAAAATAAGAATAACATCATACACATAAGATCAACTTGAAGTCTAAATGGCGTGAACAATAATATGAACATAAGCAGTTACTTATGACGTAGAAATATATCAGAAATAAATAGATAGAATAAACAATCCATGAATCACACAATTAGTTCGTCATGCACTTGCCTCCAACGAAGGATTGGTATCATGCACTATCAGATGGACCACCACCAAATCACAAATAAAACCTCAGCAAACACATTCAAACAGGCGTATAAAATAATGAAAAAGGTGAACCTATTGCCCCATCCCATCAAAACTCAATAACAAGGAACGCCGCTTGGACTATATACAAGACTGCTGCTTCAAACCTTTATATCTTGAAATATGAAAAGGCTATGACTGAAAATATATACATTTTGAAAATTTACAGAACAATACCTACAACTTTGATGTAGAAAGCATATTTTTATTCTGCCATAAAAATGGTCTAATTTGCGCTTGAAAGCAGGTTTCAGAATCTGTCCAGAATTTTAGACTGTCCACACTAAACAACCATAACTAGAGTTCTACTTGCCCAATCAGGGTGTACTTTACCAATATGGAAAGCTAAGGAAAACCTCTACAACTTCTTCTATAGGCAGCCTGGCTGATTCCACTGTTTAACCCCTCCAAAAACAGTTCAATCTACTGCTATACAGATTATGACACAAAAACAACAGTCATACTAAAAAAACTATATCTCCTAAACCACTTGAGATAAAATCGCTCCCTTTGGTAAGAAGATAGATCCAAACATTATCTACAACTTCCTAGTAATACACTTTTGCATAAAATAACATTTAGAGCTCCGAAACATCGAAACACTGAAGCACTGCAAATCTACCCACATGTAGAACTGCAACAAACCGAACCGCAACTACCCAAACTCCTTCTCTAGTCTTCCCTATCCGCGAATTAAAGCACTAAAGCCATGCTAGAACAACTGATATAATAAGGGAATAAGTCTCACCTAAGGTTTCTTTAGAGAACTTGTGAGGAGACAATAGGAGAGACTCCGGTCTAACCCCTCCTTCTACTCCTGTCCTCCTCCTCGTTCCGTTTTTCTACTTCGCTTTTTAATCCAAGCTATGAAGGAGGAGATCTAGAGAGAGCAATTTGTTGTAGAGACGAGAGATGCGAACACAGGAGGAGGGGAGGAAGGAGGCGCCGGCTAGGGAGAGGGGTGGCGGCACCATGAGGGGAGGTGAGATTCGGTTCCCCTCTCTTTAGGTTTTAGGGGAGAACTAATGGGTTGGGTTTATAGGCCTTGTTATGTTAGCACACGTCTAAAGATATTTTTCTTTTATTTATTTCTGTTGATATATTTATTTTAAAAAGCCAACCCAAACTTAAAAAAACCTAAATATATTTTAATATACGGTGTATTACACACCTCATCCTCCTCCTCCTTGGGCATTGTCGCGGAATCTGTCTTCTCTCCCTGACGGGCGGCAGGAACACTCTCAGCATCGTATCCTCCCTAGAGGTGTAGTTTGAAGATCCATTCATCTAGGTGTTTTGCTCTGCAGTAGCAGGTTACAGTTCTAGACGTGTGTGGTGTGGTTGCATTTTTTTTACTGCTATATCAAATACGAAACATCACATTATCTCGTGCACGTTGTATAAAAAAATAACAGAAAGGCTAAATGGCTGTTGAATGATCTTTCATAGCTAAATCATTCATGTTTCGTATATTTAGAACCGTTGTTTCATACGTTGTAGCAAAATGTTTCATATGAGGTGATTTGATTGTATTTCAGCTTTTTAAAAGATTGAAATATTTTCGATATACTTGGTAAAACAATGCCCGATTACTTCAAAATCTATATTATGGAAGCCTAAAAATCATGCGAATCTTATATAGACTTTTTCTCGATGTACTCAAATTTGTTTCATGTTTCAATATATTCGGAACCGTTGTTTTATACGTTGTAGCAAAATGTTTTAAGGGGTGATTTGATTGTGTTCCAACTTTTTTTTAAAAGATACATTTTCGATCTACTTATTGAAACACTGCATGATGAAAGTCTAAAAAATTATGCGAATCCCATATAGACAGCCCTGAATCGTAGAATCCTTCTTGACCTCCACATGAGAAACACCTCGAGTCGACGCGGCACGAAAGTGCAGCTAGATATGTTTCAGCTTCAGCAGTACATGCTCTGTGATTATTTTACTATTCTAATCAAGGTGCTCTAATTCTACTATTGGTGGAACTATCGAAACATGAATTCGACAATAATAAAAGGGGTAGCGCACGAGACCTAAAAATGGATGGATGCAGAGACAAGGATTTAGATAGGTTCAGGCCCTCTCAATGAGAGGTAATACCCTACTCCTGTTTGGGGATTTGAATCCGCCGGGTGTAGTATAGATCTGATGATCTTATGTGCTCATATGCCCCCTAGAGGGCTTCCTGCCCAACTTATATAGGATGGGGGGCAGGATTACAAAATAGAAACCTTAACTAATACGGTATCGGTTTCCTAAATCTAATTTACAATATTATTAAACCAGAACTTTATGCCGTTCCGTAATATACAAGAAAACGTAATACCCAAGTCATGATCTGTTACATATTTCATAAATATAAGTTACCCTCTACAATAGTCGGATAACCATGCCGTGTGGGTATGTAATACCCATAATCTCCACAGGAACTCTACGATTTTTATTTATGCGACTCTATAATTGCCATTCTAAGTTCTAACTGCTTGCTATCATGCATTTTAACAATCAAGGTCACGATAGCCTCCCTGCACCTGCCATACGTGAGACCTTCCCCTTTATAATATCGAAAAACGAACCACCATCCTCCTGATTTGTTGTATTGAAGGCTCCGTCGACATTAAGCTTCAGGTCTCCATCATCCTTTTTCGTCTGCATCACTACATAAATGTGTGCTGATTGTGAGCCCTGTTGAATTTGGAGAGCTATCCAATATTGTCCATGCTGAATTACTGTACATATCGGAAAGCAGTCAGTGTCACTATGATTCAGATACATTTGCATATGTGTGTGTGTGTTTTGCTTTCTTTAGCAAAATTTGCTGAGTAGAAGGTAGAACGGTGTGACTTCGTGGTTTAGTTCTGGACAAAGTAAAAGTTTATTTGTCAGAGGAGATACTCCCAAAATATAACTAGTTTTTGTTAAACGCTATGTTCATTAAAATATTCATTTCTGATTGAATAGAAATGAAAATGTAGGAAATGTCCCTAATTGTATTTGTCATATTCTTCATATTCCTTCCTATTTCCCCTTTCTCTTGTCAACATCCGGCTCCTCTTGCTGGCCCGTCGCCGACTATCGACAAACTTATTTTAATAATCTCAAGCTTCTCAAACAGAATCTTAGTCTCCTATTCAACAGAAAGAAAATGAATATTTGAATTGTAATTGTGTAACCATAGTTTGATAGTGTCTTTTTTCCAAACATTGATTTTTGTGATATCCGCAATTAATACCACGAAGGCCCCGTTAGATCACCTATTTTAGAGATAGATTTTTATTGCACGTAAAACGATAAATCTTATTAGCACATGATTAATTAAATATTGAATATTATAAATTAGAAAAATAAATTTATTTGCTTTTTTTAAATAACTTATATATAAAAACTTTTTTTTTGAGAAAACACATCATTTAACAGTTTAAAATTAAAAGCGTGCTAACAGAAAACGAGAAAGTTGAAGTTTAGAGTTAAAGAATACTCTCTCCGTACTAAAATAAGCGTAGTTATGAGTTTCCGTGTCCAACTTTAATCGTTCGTCTTATTTTAAATTTTCAAAAAACAAACTAAAAAAATAAGTCAAACATAAAGTATCATTCATATTTTATAATCTAATAACAATAAAAATACTAATCATAAAAAAATTCAAATAAGATTGACAATTAAAGTTGGAAACGAAAACTAATGGCCGTGCTTATTTTGAGACGGAGGGAGTAGAACGGGGCGAAGTCATTATGCCATGTCTATATATTTTTGTTTGTTTTTTCCTTGGCAGCAGACCTGTAGCTAAATTAGTGAACCACGAGCGCGCACCAAAAATATGGGAGTATTAGGTCCTGTTTGGGGAGCTTTAAATTCTGAGAAGCAGCTGTTTGGTAGCCAGCTTCTGAGAATCTGGAAAAGCTCTGAAACTCAGCTTCTCCAGCTTCTTGCTTCTTAGAATATGTAACTACAGATTCTCAGAAGTTGTGGACTGTTTGGGGCAGCTTCTAGCAGATAGGACAAGCTCCTACAAACAGGGCATTAGGCTGCGTTCGCTTGGAGAAGGGAGTGAGTTTGTTTCGTATTCCGCGCGCACGCTTCCCGAACTACTAAACGATGCGTTTATTTAAAAAAAATTCTATAAAAAAGTTACTTTAAAAATCATATTAATCTTTTTTTTAAGTTTAAAATAGTTAATACTCAATTAATCATACATTAATACGCTAATGGCTCACTACCTCGTTTTAAGTTTTTTCCCAATTTTCTCTGTCTCATTCTCCTCAAACACAGTCTTAGACGAGTGAAGCCCCAAGAAGACGAAGATGAAGAAGAAGGTGTGCGTGGTTGGCGGCGGGCTGGTGGGATTGGCGGCGGCACGGGAGCTGCAGCGGGAGGGCCATGACGTCTCGGTGCTCGAGCAGCGTGGCGGCGTCGGCGGGCAGTGGCTGTACGACCACACGGCGGCGATCGACGGCGCCGACCCGCTCGGCGTCGCCGGCGTGCAGAGCAGCGTCTACGCCTCGCTCCGCCTCATCACCCCGAGGGAGGTGACCGGGTTCTCCGACTTCCCCTTCAGCCCCACCACCGTCGCCGGCGGCGGCGACGCGCGGCGGTTCCCCTCCCACGCCGAGTTCCTCAGGTACCTCAGGGACTTCTGCGACGCGTTCGGGCTCATGGACGTCGTCAGGCTCAACACCAGGGTCCTGCGCGTCGCCGCCGACCGCGACGGGTGGGCGGTGCGGAGCAGGCGCGGCGAGGTGGAGACGGAGGAGGTGTTCGACGCCGTCGTCGTGGCCGTCGGCAGCTACACCCAGCCAAGGCTCCCGAGCATCGACGGGATGGAGGCGTGGCCGGGGCGGCAGCTGCACAGCCACTCGTACCGCGTCCCGGACTCGTTCCGCGGCGAGGTGGTCGTGGTCGTTGGCTGCGGCTTCAGCGGCAAGGACATTGCCCTGGAGCTCCGCCGCGTCGCCAGGGAGGTGCACCTCAGCGTCAGGTCGACGGAGGAGGCCATGGCCTCGCCGGCGATGTCCAAGATGCTCGCCAGGTACGGCAACCTCCACCTGCGCCCGCAGATCGCGCGGCTGTGCGAGGAGGAGGACGGCGCGGTCGTCGCGTTCGCCGACGGCTCGCGCGTCGCCGCCGACACCGTCGTCTACTGCACCGGGTACTCCTACTCCTACCCGTTCCTGGACACCGGCGGCAAGGTCACCGTCGACGACGACAACCGCGTCGGCCCGCTGTTCGAGCACGTGTTCCCGCCGGAGCTCGCGCCGTCGCTCTCCTTCCTGGGCATCCCGAACATGGTGACGACGAGGTTCTTCGAGGCGCAGGCGAGGTGGGTGGCGCAGGTGCTGTCCGGGAGGAGGGCGCTGCCGCCGGCGGGGGACATGCTCCGCGCCGCCGAGGAGCACGCCCGCGCCATGGACGCCGCCGGCGTGGCGAGGCGGCGCGCGCACGACGTGCCCGACCTGGGCGAGGAGTTCTGCGAGCGCAGCTGCGGCTTCCCGCGGCTGGAGGAGTGGGAGAAGGAGCTCATATGGACGTCCATCACCGCCATGCGCGACGACCTCGAGTCCTTCCGCGACGACTTCCGCGTCACCGACCTCGTCGCCGACGGCCTGCGCCGCCACGGCTGGATCCTGGCGCCGGCGCCGGAGCCGGAGCCACTGCGCCAGGAGGACGTCGTCGCCGGCGACGGCGAGGGAGAAGGCGTGCAGCCGGTGCAGGCCAATCAGGCGGCCGTGGCCTCTCCACTGGGCTTTATCAATTCAGCGTAATACTCCACTGTGTATTGCTCGCTCGGCTCGTAAATATTTCGCGGTTTGGATAAAATTTGGTCAAATTTAACTTTCCAAACATTTGTTGTATAATTTCTCAAATCCTTAGTTTAAAACAATTCGTAGTTTGATATTCATGAGTATATTCGTGTTCAAAAGTACTATCATTACATAGTAAATGATTCATTTAAAAAATTGATCAAATTTTATCATAAATATCAAATATTTATGACTGATGCTGAGTGGTTATGCACTTATGCTCCTTGCGTGGTACTCCCTCCATCCCAAAATAATCATAATATATGTTTATGCACCAAGATTAAGAATAATTTAATCCCAAAAAAATCTCAGTCACAAGTTCAGTCACACTTCATCAGACCCAGCAAGGAACCACTGAACCAGGGAAGATTGCAGATTTTAGGGGATAAAAAGGCACATTATCCATGCGATTCACTCCACATCCATATAATAAACACATCAGTGCTGTGACAATATACATTTGTACAACAGGCAACACTACAACAGTGCTCACGGATCAGGAAGAACATTATTTTGGTTCACATCTCATCTGTTCCTCCCTTTTATTCAGTCAGGCATAACATACCATACTTAAGACAGAAGAGTTACAGCGACATTCTCCTCTTATAGTTGGCATATACTGTAGCTAAGGACGTCGAACATGGTTGTCGCATATGGCCGCCCGAATCTAGGAAGCAGTCGGAATGGCACTATTCGGCATTATTTTCATCTTCTTTGGTTTCGCGACTGGCTTGGTTTCTGATTTATCCTGTTATGGCATCAAGATTATGTATATCAGCAATAATTCCATTACAACAATCCGAAATAGCATCGCAGTTCGCAGACAGAAAAGAAAAGAAATAGCAACAGGCAGTAAGTAACCTACCTTTTCAGCACAAGTATTGTGTGATTCCAGTTCTCTCCTTACAAATGTTGGCAGAACAAAAGCAGCCCGATGAACCTATTAAGCAAGCAGTTCATCAATGACTAACAATTAAACAACAAAGTTGAATGGAAATCTTGCATTAGGGTGAAAATAGATACATATTTGAGGGAAAGTACAGAATAAGAGCTTATGAAAGAGAATGGCAGAATTAAATAACGTTAGTGAACCTCTGAATTGTAAAATCTGATTTCCCTTCCAGCTTCCATAGCTCCTTCCAGTTTCTCAATTGGATTCACAGGAGAAAGGAAGTTCACTGCTGGACCTTCTTTCGCACATAGCAAAAAACCAATGACACCACTGCAAATGCAAATAGTTACATGATTCATTAGCTTATGGTACGTAAAAAAAGACAAAAATACAAGTCCAAACATTAACAGCTACATGAAATTGATAAAAATATTTGTCACGCTTTGCATCACCAAAAGTATAAAATAATTGAAGATTGCATATATGGACCTCTAACAACAAATTGCTTTGACATACAGTAAGCAAAAGCTATAGTACACTAGACCAATTTCCACAATAAAAGGGCCTGTTCGGTAGGTCTAAACTGCAGCGTTTTCGGCTCTGCAGGGCTGTTCTACACAGCCCAGTGCAACGGCTGCAGCTGGCCAACCGCTGTAGCTGCTGTTGCAGCGCAGCTGCAGCACTGCAGCTGCTAGGCCTACTGAACAGGCCAAAAGTTGGCACAGGAAGTAGCAATATAACAATAATTTTTCAACATTGTGAGTAAAAGATTTTTGCAGGTTCTGCTTATTTGAGTATGTTATGGATTCAAACTCCAGATAAATGCTCGGATTTCTAAGATATTTTTCCTACATTATTATGGCACTTACTATCTTGGAAGCAAGTTAACCAAATATGAGAAAAAATAAATTCTACTAGTAACATTTTAGATCCCAATTACAACTCATTTAGGTATTTCCTTCTAATATATTGACGTGCAATCCTTTTGCGCGTTCGCGAAAAACAACAACTCATTTAGGTATGAATGCTCTAACCCTGTTGGCCAAACTTCCTAATTCCTATCTCTTTCATGTTTGAGTCTTTAGCAGAAAGTGCATAAATTATTGAGGGCTAAGACATATATGTATACGATAACAATGAGGTACATGGAAACTATGAACAGAAAAGGGAAAGCAACGGACCTAGGATAGGTAGGAACGCTTGTCCAGGCATAATGCACAGCTCCCTTGAATGTTTCACGACAGATAGAAAGCATATCTTGAATTAGATGTGTGTGCAGCCACATACTCTCAGCTTGATTGCATAGAACTCCACCAGGCTTTAGAGCTCTAGCAATTGTCTGAAAAAAGGGCTTCTCCACAAGCTCCTGAGCTGGCCCTATAATGTGAGAAGGATCCTCATGAGGTACAAAAACAAAAGGAGCACAAAACTGAAACCTAGACAATTCCAAGACAGAAAAGGTAAACAATTAAAATTAATATCCTAAATCCAAATAAGAGGGGAACAAATATCAATTAATAAGGAAAATAATAATTGTGTCGTGAACCATTGAACAGCATGAAAGGAACTCGATAAAGAAGCAACCTTTCTGGAATATATCATTATAAGAGGATAAAGCAGAAGCATGATACACACATATGGTGATTTAGTAATAGCAAGATCTCACCAATTGGGTCAGATGAATCAACAATGATAGCATCATATTTCCCTTCAGGGGCATTTCTCAAGAAATCCACAGCTGCAAAATAAAAGCAGGTCTATTATGAAGATATAAAGGCAATTTTAAAATCCAAAGCCACCATATATGCATGCAAAAAAGATTAAGAACACGCAAGATAAATCATCTATTTAAAAGAGTGGAGTCTTGAAACTAGGTCTCAACCTCACAGCTGTGACGTACAACTAGGCCACATGGATAGTCCCAAAGGAAGCAAAGATGATGAAAAGGTATGAGCAGCTAATAAATATAAGTAGCATATCCTATGGAATACTACGATAATAGAAAATACCACCAAGGCACGAACTTCTAAACATACCGTCACCAACATGAAGTTGAACACGGGGATCTTTGAATCCAACAGATAGTTGTGGGAAGAAATCTTTACAGACCTGCATAGGTTGAGAGCATAATAATCATTAAAATAACAATAATTTGACAATTCTACTCTAAAGCATAAAGTGATGCTTCTTACATCAATAACTAGCTGGTCTATTTCACATATATCGATGTTCTCCACTGAGGCATGTCTGGCTATTTCTCGTAGCACACCACCATCACCACCTCCGACAACCAAAACCTGCATCAAAGTAGCCGAGTATACATCAGAATGTATGGAGCAGGACCACCCCATATATCATACAAGGAAGTTCCCACCATGGAAAATGCACAACATTCTCCAGTTAATTTAATAACTTCAATCCAATAAGAAATTTCTTAGATAATAGGAAATCAACATAGTACTGGAATAATCTAACAAACATTTTGCATTGCAAAATCTTTCATTATTTTCAGGTTTGCAAACATATGGTATGGCAAAGATAAGAAACATACACTTTTGGGGGATGGAATCGAGCACAGTGGAAGGTGAGTAACCATTTCCTGGTATGCACATTCATCCTTTTCGGTCAGCTGCACAATACCATCAAGCACCAGAACATTCCCATAGGTTGAGGACTGCATACAGAAATAGACAGGTTATACAAAAAATAGTTCAACAAAATTAGTTGTTTATGTATAAAGTAATGTAGTATGCACACAGCTAGCCTAGCAGGTGAAGAATGACCTCAAAAACTAAGATTTCTTGGTATGGTGATTTCCCTTGATACAGAATATTCTCTACTTTCAGAGAATGAGCTTCTCCTGTGTATAAAAACAAAACATCAGTAATATTCTTGACAGGCTCAAAGAGGTAGAATAATTCAACATGTGCTTTTGTAAAGAAGAGAGAACTTTTATAGACAATGCTTCGTATTAGAAACATAAATTTCCTGACAAAAACATTGGCTTAAGTTTGCTTGAGACTTGTCATTGTAATTAAAACTTTTATTTCCCCCAATCTTCATGAAATTGGCCAGCCAATCTTTGGCCCACCCAGCAAAAAAGATGAACAAAGTGATTTATATCACTTCACATATCAAAGCCGCCTTCAAATTTAGGATATGAATACACTATCTAAAACCTAAGGGGTAATGATTTAAGTGCAGCAACACCAAGATTTTTATTTTTATTTTTTAACTGAGAGATAATTGGCTATAACTCAGGCTTACATTTCTAAATCAGAAACAACTACAGGAGCATTTCAGAGTTTAATTTAACCAGCTAAACTTCTCATTAATAAATAGATTCAGTCCACACATCCATGGAATCGGTCAGGTTACGCCTCACATACATCAGTACAAATATTGTTTCAGGAAAATCATGATGAATTTGAATTGGGACCAATCTTGATGGAAAAGGACTGGGAAAAGAACAAGAGAAATACCAGGCCACATTGGATTGTTGAAGTACTGCACTTTGCTTGTTTTACCTGCACATACGAATAAACAATGTCTTAGCAACTCGGTTTGATACCAGAATCTGTAGAAAAATACACAGATACTCCTATGTTTATAACATATCTCCCAGAAATGCAATCAATTGTGATGTACCAGAGTGCGAGCGGGGTTCCGTGAACCACCCTGACACCACTGTGGCATGGCATTTTGCCTCAGACTCTGCTGCCGCAGCCTTCGCCTTGAGACAGCAAGGCGGCAGCGGCTTGTGGGAACCATCATCCCCACTCCCCCTTGTTTGCGCTGCCGCTGCAGAACCATCTTTTGCGCCTCCACCCTCCATTAGTCCTTTTCAGCTTTGAAGTTCCCAGCCTCTGGCTCAACATGAAGAAAAGGGAACAAAATATTCAGGCTACAGCCATGAACAACTCTTATAAGCAAGCAGCCCAGAGCCCCAGACTCAAAAGTACCAAATTGCTTAACTACTGCAACATGTTAACCATGGCTTTCAAACAAACAAGAAGTGCCATGCTCAGCCAAACATCTATGATGTACAACGCAATAAAAGATTTTCATATGTTGAATTAATAATTTCACTATCTCAACACAAGGCTTTTAAGGTGAATAGAAAATGTCATCACTGCAACTCTGCTTTAGGGGCCATCATCCTTCTACCCTATACATACACAAAAATAATTTAAGAACTATCTTTGCTAAATTCATCATTATGTTTTTCATGGTATTGCAATTTTAGTTTCTATGTATTAGTAATAAAGTAAGATATTATCAGTCTATCATCAGAGACATGAAAATTCAATAATAACGTTTCGATTAAAGAAGAATCAATGAGGTAATCGATCCGTAAAACCCATATAACTATCCCAGAACATGGAACCGAACCTAAATAAATTAAATCACTGTTACAAAGAGTCCCCAGATTATCCCCAACTTCCCCCATAAAAACCTCGCCACCAAAACAAACCCATAAATCCAATCAACAAAATACTGCAAACAATTATGTATAAAACAATAAAAGGGCGCGATTAGCACAAAGTTGAAGAACAAAGTTGAACAAAAAAAAAAGAAAAACAATCCCCCCAAAACAAACAAACAAACGAACACCGACGACCAAGGAGAGATAAACTCGGTAAGTTGGTAGGTAGATTAAAGATCCAAGAAACGAAGCTTATCACATCATCACCGTGCACCCATGGCGGGGCTCGCCTCTAACCTCGTCGGAATCGGACGCGAGCAGCAGCAGCAGCAGCAGCGCCCGCGGCGAGACGGCTCAAGCTTCACTCTCGCCCTCCGGCCCACGCACAGTACCAGCAGCAGGGAGAAGACGACGAGACGAGACGAGACCAAGAAATAGGGAGGGAGCTCCCAGTCCACTCGTGCGGCACCAATTTTACACAAACACCCTTAAATAAGGGATAATTTGCTTTTGGTGTCTTTCGGCTACAGCTCTCAAGTCTAAACGGCGCCGACAGTAACACGAGAAAATTTTGGAAAGATAGGAGGGGGGTCAGTATAAAATAGCCGCAGTTCCGCGGGTACTTCTGCTGCCGTGATGAGGGCGAGAACTCGGGATATCGCCTCGAATATAGAGAAATTGCATTCATGTCCTTGCATGATTGTAAACTATGGTACAGTTGGATTTGATATATGCTTAACTGTTATAAGAGCAAGTTTAATACTACAGTTAACGGCTAGCTCTAAATCATCTATAATTAATTTAATAGCAAATACATACAATAATTACATATAAATATATATTACACTATTGATATCTGGTCCCACCTGTTATACATACATTGCGTATTACAGTTCGTGTTTAGCTGGCTACAAATCTGTAGCCTGCTGTTTTTCTCTCTTCTTTTTTATCTCCTCAATATGTGTTTATAGCTGATGGATAGTCTAGTATTGTACCTGCTCTAATTACTACATAGGTACAATTGCATTTCGTATCCAATGTACAACTCTTTCATTTTTTATTTTCATGGATACAAAATGTATTTTGTATTTTATATATAGTTATATCGATCAATTTTGTTTAATCATTATAATTTCGACCAGCAACGATCTAATGGTGTAAGTATTTATCTTTTTATTTGATTAATATAGTGATTTTTAGCCCTTTTAAAGTGAACGTAATGGTTCTTTTCGACCTCTCTAAATGATATTTTCCAAATCCATTAATGCAATAGACCCAATCCAAGTTAACCTAATCAAAAGCCAAAGGGAATGCAAATGGGGTGTGTGTAAGAAATTGGATATATAGCACAATTATTGACTAATTTTTTTGATAATGTATTCCTTTTGTTTCCTTTTGGAGAGTGATCTCCCCCTCTTGGTTTATAGATTAAATGTACATGAGAGAGCTATCCTTTCACATTGGATAAACCTATTGTAATTTCTTTTTTTATTTAATATATTTTTACTGTGGGGGCTTCCCCACAGTGTTTTCCCTTAAAAATATTATCTATAGAAGGATATGTTAAATTGAATTTTCTTTGAAGCAAAATAAAGGGGAAAAAGAGAGGATGAGGTCATTTTTCAATAGCCAATATTAATTCCCTCTATATGAACGCCATTTGTAATATTTTTTGCATAACCTCTTAAATTTTACGCAATAACTATGGTAGATTATTTATGCACTTGTCCAAAGTCATCTACTACATTTACAGGAAAAATTAACCGGTCATTTTTAAAACTAAAAAGTCCAACAAACAAATATCTAGGAAGGTGCTAGAGAACTCCTAAAGGAGGGGGAAGGGGGGGGGGGACATTCGGAACACACAAATTTCACGGAAAATCATTTAATATTATAAGTATCCCTCCATTTGAAAATAAATACATGTTTCTAAAAAAAATACACAAATCCTACTAATTGGATTCATTTGGGAGGAGGAAGCAAGAAATATTCTTCTTACTATTAATAGGGCCAAAACAAATTGGGGGGGGGGGGAGAGAAAATGTATTACTTGCACAACTGCCCAGGTGAAAGAAGAGATCGGTATATAGATAATATTCTCTTGAAAATTTCGACGATACCTACTCCCTAAATACTAGACCTAGTTATTGACGGCTGTTAAGTACCAAATTCACACCGTCAATACCTACATAAAACATCCAACATAGTAGTATGGTATATTTCTAACAATTTCTACGAGTGTTGGTGTATATTTAGATGTAGGTGACAAACTACCAAACTTTAGAGGAAATATACATGAAGGAGGAGGAGAATCAAACTTATATCCAAACTTATGGAGTTTTGGACCCAAAAACCCAATTAAACACCTCCAAATATGCCTAACCACCATGGCAATGGATTGAGAGCCCCAAAATGAGTGTCTAGACCGAAAATTGGGGGCCAATGGAGCTGGCCAGGGTTCGGCCGAATCCTGACAGAGGCGATAGTCCAGGCCCAAGTTCAGTTAGGTAGCTACTAACCTCTCAATGATGGTTGTGACCGTTTTCGGCGCTCCAACTGTCACCAGAGGACACTTGGCACAAGGAGATAAAGTTAGATGGAAGATGCTCCTTGGATTCCATGGAGCATCCTTATCCTCCCAAGCAACCTCCACCTATAAATACCCCTCTCCTCCCTTATTCTCACACTGTCACACACACTAAAGCATGAGCTGAATTACAAGAGGCTCTATTGTACTTTATTGTGTACTAGATTATGAAGAGAGTAAGGTAGAAGATGTCGGAGGAATTTCGGAATGTCGGTAATTCTCCTCTTACTTTTTGTACCTTGCTGATTACTCTGCTTTAATAGAAATATCATTCTGAGTAATTAAGATTTACTTTGTGAGAATTATTCTTGGTTAGTTCCTAATTAGTGTGCGAGATCATTGTTCACTATAGTTCATTAAAATATAGTGATTACTTTAGTGAGTTATAAGCACTAGAGTAGTTATTAATTCTGTTGACGCGGTGTCTGGGTAATTAATTTCTGATTGTTGTTTCGTATTCCATTTGAGGTGGGTGTAGAGATGGTGACAGCCCTCAAATACTTAAAGTCCTCTCTGTCCGGGTACGCAGAAGAGCGATATCTGGAAGCAACGGGTTGGCTAGTGCCTGAAGTATCACGTTAGGATTAAACTGAGCTTTCCGTAGACACTGTTTCTCATTAGGAAATGTTCTCTACCTTTTGCCTACATTTGCTTTGTGTCCTTGGATGAACCTAAAGAAGAGCTGAGCATACATGTTCCCTGTGGAAATCGATTCCTTGGAATACTCCCAGGTGAAGTGCTACATCAGTATCTTCCGTGCGCTTGCGAATTTTATCTGTGATGTTAAGAAATACCAACACTAATACTCAAAAATATTTGGGTTAATTGGATCCATGCCAGTGCAAATTTGTCTAATTGAAAAAATACCATTACTATTCATGATACCTTCTACATGCCACTGGAATTTGTTAAAATTGAAACCATGCTATCATTGTCGAACATTGTGTTAATCTCTGTCTAATGGCATGCTTTCTTCCTCCTTATCTTCTTCTTCCTCTGCACTTTTGTAGTACTATGACTACGGCCACAATGGCAGCTTGTGGTGGCAGCATGGATGATGAATGCGGTTGTGGCAATGAATGGGCGGTGCTTGCCTGCTGTAGTGCCGCTGTGGCAGAAGCTCATCATCGGCCACAAGGTGGAGAAGCTCCACCAAAAAATCTCTGCTTAAAAAAAACAAAAGGAAAAACAATTCAAATCCTTCTATACACAGAGCAAATCCTCCTGTACACAGATCAACGCTAGTAGTCACCAATAAAAATTGAAAATCAAATAACAAAAAGAAAACCGAAGCTTAAATCTCCATGTACACAGGAACTGCCAAATGGAGTAATTAAGAGACCCGGTTGATGGCCAGCATCATCGCCGGTGGAGTCAGGAAAGCCGGTAACTGCGCGGAGAATACCCTGTCCTTGAACGGCTCCACCTCGCCGGCGCAATTCCGCATCCACTGCGATGATGTCTGAAATGCCCTGCCTGTGTGGTGCCCCCAAGTGCTCTCTTTCCCCTTCCGTGTTCCCCGTCTCCGCCGCCAAAGCAGCATGATAAGCATTCTCCACCGCCCCGCCATTTCTATGTCGCTCGTGTTCCACTACCATCAAATCAAAGCTGATTCGTTTGTTTATAGCAGGATGGATGGAGCTTGGGTTGGGTGGGGATGGATGGCCACAAATCCAAGTCCTGCTCCCATCCACCCATCACTGCCACCTCGAAGGTGCACCGCTGCCTCGCTGACCCTTCCACCACTGTTGCCATTTGCTTCTTCAAGCTGTAACCCATGGCCCCGGCCGCCAGATCCAAGAGCGAGAAGAGGGGAAGATGAACTATAGAGGGGATGAAGAAAGAATGGGTTTTTTAAGAAGATGACATAATCTGATAGTAATTGTATGGTTCCAATTTTACAAAATTGTAATAGCATGTATGTGTTATCACAAAAGTAATGGTATTTTTGCAATGGCACGAATCAAATTAACTCTAAATATTTGGCCCAGTACTAATAGGTATCACGTCCGGTACTGATAGGTATCAGCGTCGGAATTGATAGGTATAGTGATACTAATAGGTATTAGGTCTGATACCAATAGGTATCAGGTCCGATACTTGGTAATGATAAGTATCATGCCTGCTACTAATAGGTATCAGGCGTAATATCCATTAATCCATATGTATCAAGTCTAGCAAACGACAAATTTAAGAACTTATCTATACACATGTCCCAACTATCACAAGCGCACATCCCTATTAAGCGCACGCACGAGCCATGAATATATACTAAAATATCAAGAATATGTATAATTGTAGTTTTGTCATGTTTCGTGTTAGGTTTGTCTGCATGCATAGGTTTTTATATCAACATCTTCAATTAATTGATTTTTTTTTTAGTTTTAATGCCTTCGTTGAAACTCAACTCTGGTTTGCTTTGATTTGGCCTTCTATATGTACAATGTATCCAAAATCTCTAAATCTGATTGCAAGGTGCTAATCTTAGCATGCTATTGGGTCACGTGGCAGGCTGGAAAAAAGAGCTAGCCATCTCTAAAATATTGCCACGTGTCTTGGTTTTCCTGTGTCCTTGCGCGCGCTGTTGCCGTGTGAGATCAACGGTGGATTCTGAGCTAGCCTTGCGAGAGCAGGAAGCAATGAAGGAATCCAGATGTTTCTCGATATTACGCAAGTAGAATCTGAGTAAACATCCTACTCTCACACGAACAGCACTATAGCAAACTAGCGACGTGCCACGCACATGATTTGCTATGAGCTGAACCTATTACATTCATTGAAAAAAAATGGAAATATATATAATTTTTGCTGGATTTATAGAAATATATACTCTGTGACTAACATATATTTTTACCAGTTCTTTCCAAACTGTACATTCCTATAAAATTGGTCAAAAAATATTTTCAATATTGAGTACGACGCAAAATGTTGCAGCAACAAATGTACACATATTATACAGTGAGAGATTAATGATCAAATTTAATGTCAGTGCTAACGCATTGCCACCTATTAAAACGTCTAACAACTAAATTAGTATATGTAATGCTAAAAACATTACAAGCTAAATTAGTAAGCAGTGTCTTTGAAGCCTCATCTTGACAATCAATCCCTAGAGCCTCACTGAATAGCAAATTTCTAGAGCAAGAAAATTTATCTCGGTCAAATGTAGAATCTCTTCAACTTTGGGCACTTGCATATGCACTGAGGGGATGTTCAGATTGATGTCATTTTTAACCATACTATTTTTTTTTAAAAGTTGCTAAAAATATCTATATTTAGTTTGTTGCTAAATTTGGTTAATATATAAGAAATACTGCCAAAATTTTGACAATATTGTCAACTTACCAAAATTTTGGTAATGCTAAATTTTGGTAATGCTAAATTTTGGTAAGGTTTATTTTGGCTATCTGAGCTGGCCCTGAATCTACTATTCTAAAGCTGGCTTTCGACCAGCTTTTTTATTGGTCAACGTTGCACTATAATTTGCGGGAGATGGGTGAATTCGCGTGGTGATTGGTGAATGCGAACGTCTCTACCAATCTAGACGTCGCGCCGAAAAGGCGAAAGGAAACCGCGCAATGCTTTGGGTTAGCTGGGCTGTACTCCAACTCAGTGCAGCTGGGCCTGATTGCTAGGGCCCTTGCATGTTGCCTTAATTAGCCTTAATTAATCCATCCCGTGCACAGAAGCGCTATAAAACAAGGGAAAAAGAAAAAAAATAGAAAATAAAAAACTAAATGACATAAATAATGTAAAAAAATATTTATATCATTTGGAACCATCCATTTTATAATATTGTATTTGCTAGACTACAAATTTCAAGAAACATGTGAAAAGTTTTTAGGTATTATGAAATCACTACAATTTTGGGAAAACATACCTTATTTATCTTTTTCTATTAACATCTATAACCATTTGTCAAAGTTAAACATAATAGTCTCGATCCAAAAAATATTTACTAATCTTAAAATACACGGGCTAATAACTAACCTACGCGCCAACGTGCGCGTTCATTTCTAGTGTGGAACTATGTTGAACTCATCAAGTATGTATTGCATTAAATTGTAAGGACACATCCTTTTTCTTTTTGTCATTTATACTCTTTTTTTTGTCGGTCGTGCATTAAAAAAATGTAAAGGTCAAGTATTAAGTTTGCTCATAATAATATGTGTTAATTCATATCTACGAAAGGAAACCAATGTGCCACTGCCTTTGTATACACGGCTACATGTTACAAACATCCAAATATGAAGCCCCTAATGATCTTTACCTTTTCAGAGAAAGATAGATTATGTGATAATGTCATGTAGAATCTGAATAAGCAATAGTTCAGTTTTGTACGTAGCCTACACTCGCCGCTTGCGCACCCAGGATTCGAGTTTGAACTGAAGTAGCGTTTATCCATGCTAGAGCCCTTCCCACTTTATACAAGGTGAAGACAGGAGAGGGCTGGAGCGTATTAAGGAAAATAATGTAAGAGGTTACTGTTGTTCCATGTCTCACAGCATGAAAAATGTACTTAGCACTAAAAAAAAGTACAGGCATGTAGTAGATTTGCATATGCATGCACCAAGTTTCCTATTCGCATCAAGTTTGAACTAAAGCCTTTTTGTCCTTGTGTAGTGCACGCTACTGCTCTTGGCACTTTATACCACTTTATACAAGGTGAAGACGAGAAGGGAAAAAAAAAGAACATGCAACATGTTCCCTTGATGCATGGTTTTTTGTTTGCCAGCCTATGCCGTGGTCTAAAAATCCGAGTTACCTCTTTCTGGCTTGTGCCTTAAGGACATAAGCAATGCACCTGGTGCTGGAAAGTACAAGTAGGCAGTTGGTGGCATCAACAAATGAGTAAAGAGAAATGACTTCCTACTTTCATCCCACTAATTATGGGTTTATTTATATTTAACTTAATAATTTGGTGATTAGTTTAATTAGTTACAGGTCAATCAATCTATGGCTATTGATTTAGAATGAATGGGTTGGATGTAAAGAATGTCGCGTGCTGACATTACTATGTAATAGACGATATGATTCCGATTCACAAATATGCAATCTTTGCAACCGCTAAAATAAAAGAATTATTTTTAAGTTTGCTTTTTCACCATGCTATAGTCAATAAAAGTTTTTTATTTATGCTCCAATGTTCCCTAATCAATTTCATCTACTTTTTTAATACCCATGTCCAACTATAGAAATGCTTAAATTTTGGGATAGAGGCAATAATTAATAAGGCTCTAGGATAATTCAAATGGTTTTGGGCTTATTTTTTTTTTTTAACTTTGTTATGCTCTAGAAAGCTACTAAGAACCGGTTAGGAATATAATAATTTCATTGGTATTTTTTTAAGAAATGTTTACTCAAAAGACAATGGGCACTATCTAGCATGAACTTATTTAATCAGAGGCGGTACATATTGCAATCAAATAAAATTCTTGCATCCAAAATAGTGTCAATAATATCACTTTTACCATTATTAGTTTTGTAGACCAGACAAGCTAAAGATACAGTAACATCACAGAAAAAGATCAATATGACTATAATAAAACAGCTTCATATAGCATGAGACCTCGCCAATAGTTTTGTCAATTAAATATTATTTTAGAAAGAGTGCAAGGCATCTTCGGTTTCCGCATAATCAAGGATACACGCAAACACGTTTGTTAATTGCATGCCTTGCACACTATTGCAAGAACCTAGTCGGCCCGCTGGTTTGCTTTCCTCCATCGCTTCACGTAAACACATTGCCATGATCGAGCTCATGATCACCTTCCATCCGGTGGCTACCTCCAATTACAGGAGACAAGCCAAGCACACAGTTTGCTTCACATAATCACGAAGCAGATTGCCGAAAGGGTTATGTTGCTGGCCATATATATACCACCCTTGTGCTTGGCGTATATACCACCCTTGTGCTTGGCGGTTTGTTTCATCCCATCAATTGTTTGGATTCAACAGTAGTCAGTCTCACTCTCTTCCTCCAAATCGTTGGTGCTGCTGCTACTGTGTATCGGAGATGAACGGCGTTGGTGGGGCGGGAGGAGCAGCGGCAGGGAAGTTGCCAATGGTGAGCCACCGACGGGTGCAGTGGAGGCTAGCGGACGAGCGGTGTGAGCTCCGGGAGGAAGAGATGGAGTATATCCGGCGGTTCCACCGCCATGAGCCTAGTAGCAACCAGTGCACCTCGTTCGCCGCCAAGCATATCAAGGCGCCCCTCCACACCGTAAGTAGAGATAATAGCAAACATTATATGATTATCTGATTTTTGTGTGTGTGATAATTTTACTATATATATTGATCATGATACTTGGAATAATTAGGTGCTTAACAGCTTGTTTTCTAGATGATATGTGCTACATATGGCTTTGTATTGTGTCAATATACATATCAATGTTTTTTTGGATATATTAATTTGAATTGATGCCAGTAAATAATTTGTTTCAAGAATTGCGCGAAGTATGATGACTACCTAGTAGGATTAATTCTTAACTTTTTTTTGACCTGGATTAATTCTTAACATTGATGTTAATTAATCAATATCATTTTTGAGTGTACTTTCTCCACCAAAAAATATAATGATGTATGGACTTCTTAAAAGGATTAAAGATGAAAACAAAGGGTGGTTGTGGGAGTCGAAGGGTTGTAGTGTGTAAGATTGGGTCAAATTAAACGAGTGATTGAGAGGATTTAGTACTCAAGAATTTCTTCTGTTTTGGGATAAATCTAAAACGCAAGAATTACCTATACTTTGGGAATGATGGCGTATTATGTACTGATTTATTTCAATACCCCACCCCCACACCCCAACACACGAACACACACACGCACACGCACACACACATTTTGGACTTCACAATTTGTGTGAAAACCACTCAAACGAAAATGTTGTGTGATTTGTGTGAAAGGCACTCATGAAACAAAGGTTCTATAGTCATATTGGTATTTAATATTGTTTGGTCTCTTTATATTTATTCAGGTTTGGTCACTAGTGAGGAGGTTTGATCAGCCACAACTTTTCAAACCTTTTGTGAGAAACTGTGTAATGCGAGAAAACATTATTGCGACCGGATGTATTAGGGAGGTCAATGTTCAAAGCGGGCTTCCAGCCACAAGGAGCACTGAGAGGTTAGAGTTGCTTGATGATAATGAACACATCCTCAAAGTCAATTTTATTGGGGGAGATCATATGTTGAAGGTAAAAATTTAATCTTGATAATATGTCTAAGGTTTTTTTTGCTTTGTCTTTCCTATGAAATGAATTTGTGATACACAATATAGATATTTTTAAGCTAATGGAACAATATGTATACCTAACTATAGAGAATGAAGTAACAATATAATTCCATAAGTAGTGGCTTGACACCATTTCCTTATATGCATCTAGAAATTTGCGAGATTCATTGTTTGTTTATGATGTATCGCTAATATCTCGGCCCTAGACTCACTTTTCATTGAGAGAATGAGAGGCAAATGAGGAACCATGTCATCATTTAGGGGAGCATAATGATTTTATCCTTTTTTGAAAGATCTTTAATTGTAGTGAAACTGACAATATAATTTTGTTTGCCATTATAACAGAATTACTCATCCATCCTGACCGTCCACTCTGAGGTCATCGATGGCCAGCTTGGAACACTGGTGGTCGAATCATTTATTGTGGACGTTCCAGAAGGGAACACCAAAGATGACATAAGCTATTTCATCGAGAACGTTCTCAGGTGTAACCTTAGGACCCTTGCTGATGTGTCAGAGGAGCGCCTTGCCAATCCTTGATCGCACCCTGCTTTCTTAGTTGATTAATGATTAGAATAATCCATATATAAAATTGGTGGACCGTATTGAAACTCTTAGAAAACAACATAGCTTCTTGGTCGACACTGGATACTAAAGCTTCTTTTTTAGAATTTAGAGCAATCAAGACACTCACTTCAGTTTACTACAGACATATGTGCAACTTTGTTGTTTACTTCACTCGTGCAAAAAATGTTGAACTGAAATGAAACATTGATACTCTAAAGGATTGTATTCAGATTTCCTATTCATTAATTCATATGTCTTCTTCTTAGCTATGAAAATAATGTTCCCATAGATATATGGTCCTCTTTGTGTCATCTTCCATTGCTTCTTTGAGTTCAAGATAAACACTTATCTCATTTAACATTGTCTTAATTGTAACATCATATGTCCAGATCCAACACCAACATTTAGTGAACGACAACCTTTTCATACTTTTTATTCCAAGGATCTTGAGCCAATCGACTCAACACAATCATAAATCTAAACATTGATAGTGATGATGTGGGTTATTGAATCATGGCCTGGTTTCTATAGACAACACTTGGGATAAAGAGAGAAGAACAATAGTGGACATAGTTAAGTTGGCAATGAAATGAACAAACCAAATATGGGGGTGGAGGTAGGGAGGGTGAGTGCAAGCAAAATGTGAAGAATGCTATTAGCCTCACGTCATGAAACTTTAGTCTCCATAGGAGGGCCATATAAAGTCAAATTGGGCTAAGAGGACTGATGTCCATGTCATCTCGATCATCCCTCATATTTTCACGTGAAAAAAAAATTCTATGACTCAGTCAAAACCGTCATAGTAGTTCAGTTTTCAAAAAAAAAAACATAGCTCACCGGTTTTCCTAGTCGAATTGAACAGATGGATGGTGGTCTTAATTTGAAGTAAACAAAACAACTTTAAACCAACACTTTGTTCTAGTTTTAATCTATCCTCTATGCGCTAGTAACATCCTCGAATGGTTCTCTCCTAGATGAAAAATTAATGATATCACCTTTGTTGGTCACTAAATCTATGGCTTGTCTAACCCTTTTTTCTTTGATGAGCACAAGGTACTCCCTCCATTTCACAAAGATTGTTGTTCTAGCTTTCAATTGTTTCTTTATCGAAATGTGTGGCAGCATAGCTAAAGCTTCCATATTAACTGTGAATGTAAACACTAAGTGATATGTAGTGAGATGCATGCCTGAACAAATATGAGTACTGTGACACTTAATGACTATTTGACGTATACACCTTCTGAGTTAGTGGTTCACGAAAAATGTGAAGGGTCAAGCATTAAGTTTTCTCATGCCATGGGTTAACTCATAGGTACAAAAGAAAAACGATGTGCCACTACCTTTGCTATGAGAGCACATGTTTCAAATGTCCAAATATAAAGTCCATATTGATCTTTACCGTTTCAGAGGATGTGAAATGATTCGATCATTTCATGTAGCATGTGAACAAGCAATTGTTCAGTTTTGTACGTAGCCTGCACCAGCTGCCTTTGCACCCAGGATTCAAGTTTGAACTGAAGTAGCGTTTATCTTGCACATGATTCCTAGCTAGAAACATGTTCTTATTAATAAGGCTCTAGGAGAATTGAACTAGTTTTCGGCTAGTTAACCGGTTAGGAATATAATAATTTCATTGGAATTTTTTTTAGGAAATGATCTTTTTTTAAAAGATAATGAGCATTATACCATGGGAGCTATTTTAATCGGAGGCAGTATTGCAAACAAATGAAATCCTTGCATTCGAAATGGGGTTAGTAATATCAAATTTAGCATTTTAACAATTACGAGACCAAACATACCAAAGATACGATAGCATCTAAGGAAAAAATATCAAGATGATTATGATAAACAACCCAGGATGGCATGAGATCACCAACAGTTTGGTCAAATATATATTATGTTAGATAACAAAAGCATGAAAGACACGTTTGGTTAATTACATGCCTTGCACGTTCGCATCAACCCAGCCGGCTAGCTTTCTTCCTCCACCACCTCACGTAAGTACATCACAATGATAAAGCTCATGACCTTGTAGTGGCTATCACCGAGGCTTCAAGACAAGCCAAGCACATGGTTTGCTTCACACAATCACGAAGCAGATCACTGAAAGAGCTATGCTTACCACCCTTGTCCTTGCTCGCCTTTTCCATTCCACCTCAATCGATCGACTTCATGAGCTAGCAGCTGACCTCTTCCCCTTCTCCTTATTGGTGTTGCTGATTTTCTACTGCTTACCGGTAATGATCGGTGCCACAAGTGGTGCGGGAGGAGCGGTGGCAGGGAGGCTGCCGGCGGGTGCAGTAGAGACTGGCTGATGAGCATTGTGAGATCTGGGAGGAGGAGATGGAGTACATGCAGTAGTTCCACAGCCACGAACCCGGTAGCAACCAATACAACCCCTTTGTCACCAAGCACGTCAGGGCGCCCACCAAACTCTAAGTAGTGATAATAATAGCAATAATCATCTGGTTTTGTGTGTGTGATTACGTAGCTATATATAATCATGATATGGAATAACTGAATTTTATTATTAATTATTTTGGGTGGTCGATATATACGATTTCATCGCACAATTCAATTTAGGAGAATAATTATGATTCACATGCAATTTGATAATGCCCGAGTTTTAGCTTTGTAGATTTTGTGTTGGCGGATTAGCATGCCAAACTGCCATCTTAAGAAAATTGTCTAAATTCTCCTTCCTATGACAAATAAGCCATCTTTGGGATGGTGACACGGTCAACAAGACAATTGTTTGATTACTAATTACTAGTATAAAAATCTATGGAAAATGTAGGATGGTTTTAATATTCTGAATCTATTTTCAAAGAAACATCTACCCATATCAAATTAAAAGGTTGAATTTGAAATACTCAAAGCGATATTTTTTGTGAAATTTTAAACACGTTGATTACATGTATTCCAAAACGTCACTTATTTGTCTTTATATACAATTCGAAAGAAAGGGATTCATGAAACATACCTTAATGAATTCAATGTGTCAAATGTACAATGCACATTGATGTTCAAATTGTATGTATCATGTGAATATATGTATAATTTTATTTCAGATATATTTGAACTGATACCAATAATTAAGTTGATTTTAGAATTACATGAAGTATTAACAGCAGGATTAATTTGTTTTCAATATTTATTCATTATATAATATCATTTTAGAGTACACTATATATTGGCTTACTTCAAAACCCTACACACACACACACTCTCTCTCTCTCTCTCTCTCACACACACACACACTCTTGGATAGGCAGTTTGTGTGTGTTGCATCTAACGTAGACTTTAAATTTTTCCCTCACATAAAAGCGTTTACTTTGAAGCTAGCTAATTCTCCTTTGCCATACTTGTGGAAACCACTCAAACTAATATTATCTTTTGCAACTTCTATGAAAGCTACTCATGATACTATTTATATTTTTATTTGATACCATTCAACCTCTTCATGATTATGCAGGTTTAGGTCACTGGTGAGGAGGTTTGATCAACCACAACTTTTCAAACCTTTTCTCAGAAAGTGTGTAATGCGAGAAAACATTGATACTAGAAGTGTTAGGGAGGTTTGTGTTCAAAGTGGGTTCCTGGCCACAAGGAGCATTGAGAGGTTACAGTTCGTTGATGATAATGAACACATCCTCCGTGTGAAGTTTATTGGTAGCGATCATATGCTAGAGGTACAATTCAATATTTATCATCTATCCATGTTTTTCTTTTGTTTTGTTATTGCTATCAAAAGCAATCTATGGGATACATGATATAGATATCTTTTGAGATAATGGAACGTTACATATACTTAATTATGGAGAATGAAATAAGTGTAAAATTCTATAAGTACCTTTGCACTAGAAATCTGCGTGATACCTTACTTGTCCATAATGTCTCACTGACTTGTAGGCCTTCGACATGCATATTGTTGAGTGAATGGGAGCAAATAAGGAAATATGCAACTTTAGGGGCAAAAATAATGATTTTATCATTTTTTTTTCAAAATTTGCACATATTTTCAAAGATCTTTATTTGTAATGGTATTGACGGTTGATCTTTTTTTTTGGGTTATTACACCAAAACTACTCATCTACCTTGACTGTCCACTTTGAGGTCATCAACGTCTAGCCAGGGGACTGTCCACTTTGAGGTCATCAACATCTAGCCAGGGACAGTAGTTATTGAGTTATTTGTGGTGGACCATTCCAGAGGGGAACACCAAAGATGACATATGATATTTAGTCAAGAACTTGTTTAGGTGTAACCTAAGGACTCTCGTTGATGTGTCTGAGGAGAGCCTTGCTGGTTATTGACCTCACTTGCCTTCTTTGCTGATGGTCAGAATAATCGAGATATGGAATTGTTAGAACTTGTAAAAACTCTAAGAAACAATGGAACTCCTTTATCGGCACTGATTACTAAAGCTTCTTGAAAAGAATTTAACTACCAGGGCAATCATAGCGCTCACTTCGGTTTACTACATATACATATGCAACTTTCTGGTTTAGTTCATTCTAGTGTTTGAAAAATGTTGAACTAAAATAAAATAACAATATTCCGAAGGATTGTTGTTGGACTTCATGTGCGATAATTTGTCTTACTCTTGGCTATTCAAATAAAGTTTCCACATATGCATGCCCCTCTTATTATCGTGTTCCATAACTTCTTTGAATTCAAGATAAGCACTTATTTGATTTAACGTTGTCTTAACTGCAACACCATATGTCCAAATGCAGACGTATATTGTATTGACTAGCAAGGTTAATTTCTATTTAGAGCAAAAACAGATCGTGTCATCAGCTTTTAGGAAAAAAAAATAGCTTGACAATTATGAGCATGAAGTACTTGATAGTGTGGACAGCTCTGTCCTGTGGACGCTGAAGAGGGCGCTCCTCAGCTACCGTGCACATCCTACCTCCACCTCTTCGTCGAAGACCCAATAGGCAGGGTGCCTTCCACCAAGCAGGGGCATCCGGTGGCCCCTAGCTACCCACATTGGATCTGGCAGTCCCGGATGAGGAGCATTGCATGTCGGCCTCAGAGTCATCGCCATCATGTGCCATCGGTGAATCTCTAAGCTTCCGTTGATGCCAAAGGTCCTTGGAGATCATGCCATGCGACACTACATTACGAGTGCTTCCCCTCCTGCCAATCCAGGTGGCATTAGCTTGGGGCACCATGGATCTGGTTGCTCCCGAGCTCATAGTTGCTGGATTTGGCCACCTCAGAACTCGTGCGGGCTGGATATGGCATTTTATAGGGTTAGGATGAGTGGAAGGGAGGAA